GAGAAACGCACATGGAAATCGTTAGTGCTCTACTTCCACTGAGTTGAATAAAAAGGTTTTGTTTTTAATCAGATGATGCCTCAGACCGAAATAAAAATTTCGGTTACATATATAGCACGTATTGTAACGGAGCGTGCGGTTGATTATCAACAGAGGAGTTGCACACCTTCAGGTATTCAACTTGCCGTTGCACTCTTATAAGTGTAAAGCAGTTGCATACTTTGTTAATCAGTGTGCATGCAAATTGTCTTTGGCAGCCTATGTGGTAATTGTACCTATACAATTCGGATTAAGTTAATTTGGTCGGCCACTCACTCCAATACGGTATTTAGAATCCATGAATATGAGTCTAAAATCGAAACTGTTTTCAGGGTCTTTCAAGCTGATACTAAAGGTCGCTCTGAATAAAGCCAAAAGTTAACTATCTCGAATATGAAGCGAACTTATGATTACTATAAAAGTGAATGGACACTGATTAATATTAAATCATTACTTTTGCTTGAACCGTCATTATTTCAAGTTATTGGGGAGCAAATGGGCCTACGCGCGGCGCATGGGCCTCTTTCCTTCTTCCCTCTAGCTCCTCGTCGTCGCCCTGTCCCCTCCCGACCCTTTATCATTCACTATTTCCCCTTTCTCTACAGCGATTGCGCCGGCAGCAGCAGCACGCATTTTCAATTATGTCCCCTATCCGCAGCAGAGGCCGAGCCAACCAGACTTAGGATGCTAGAAAAGAACGACATTACTCACTGCAGATGACGACCCTTCGAATTCGAATAGGAGATCATACCAACTTAGATGGGAAGGGCGAGGGGGGGGGGGGGGGGCAGAGACAGAAAGGGGACCTGAACCGGAAACAGTTCGTCAACAGCCAAACCATTGCGAAAAGTGGGACTCAAAGATGTTGCATCAGTCACTGTACCACTGTGAAAAGAAAATATCGTACCGGGGATAGGAAAATTTCCATGAAAGACATCGTACAATTAGCAATAATCAGCAGTCATTGATGATTGCTGATATATCAGTGTACATGACATGATTGCAGATATATCAGCAATCATCAATGATCACGTTTAGGTTTTAGGCTAATACTTCCTCTCAGGTGGACAACGGTAGAAAATAGATAGAATTTCCATATTCCTCGTGAAAAGAGCTTTCAAACGAGCTACTATGTGATAGGGTTAAATTCACCGTTACTATAACTTGGTTTACATTACCCACATTTTAGAGGGGTGGGCCATTTCGAAAGTGAACCCTATCACATAGTAGCTCGTTTGAAAGCTCTTTTCACGAGGAATATGGAAATTCTGTCCGTTTTTTACTGCTGTCCATCTGAAAGGAAATATTAGCCCAAAACATAAACATTGACGATTGCTGATATATCAGCACACATGCCATGTACACACGATGTACACTGTTGAGTTTTCAGAGCAGCATTGATAGAAGTGGATAATAAGTTAGGTCGATGTAGGCGGGGCGCGCGTCTGAGGACTCGGGTCTGTTTGATGGGGCTGTTTGGAAGGGAGGCGCGGAGAGGGGGAATGGGGCAAAGTGACCGGCTTTAGAGCTCACTTAGAAGGCCCCGGGGTCCCTTACGGTCACACCGGAGACCACAGGTTCGTGGCGTGGGCGGGAAGCGGTAGAAGGTAAAGGGCGAGGTTCGAAGGGAAGGACAAAGCAGCCCTATCGGTTTTGCACAGTCACGTCCTTATCAATAAATTTGTCGATAGCCTGTTACTTGCAATCAGCTCTGTCTGCGACGCTTTGATAATGAGGCGGAGCAGACCAAACTACTAATCGCCAGCACCAGTTGTTATTATTGTTTACTTTAGGGACTAGTGGTAGGCAATCATTTTAGTTTTGGTAGTTAGGGGCAAT